GTACCATGAGCGCTCAGACTGACTTGAGATTTGCCCCGCAAACATTTCAGCAGTTATTATAGGCCTGTGTGTCCCGTATTTCTGTTGACTGAATCCATGCCGTTAATTATGAATTTATCAGTCTTTTGCATGCCAAAGTCAATTTCTGCATAGAAATATTACGCCAAATAGAAGCAGAAAATCGTGCTATACGCACTTTCATGAGATCGGGTTAGCCTACAACAATGAATTTGTTGGCTATTTTACAAATGGGAATACAACGAATTTATGACAATGTTTACATTCAAGCTACCCGTAACATTTATAGTGAAAAGTACTTTAAAAGCGTCTGGAATGTAATAAAGTAATTTTAAAGCTGTTTTTTAAAGCATTTGCAGCATTGATAAAAATATAAATAATTAACATATCATACAAAATTGCGTTGCAGCAAATCCTTTAAATTTTAAGGTATTCAGAACAGAGCAACATAAAAGTCAGAAAAAGCAGCTATACAATTATAGGACAAAGTTTTACATATATGCCATTAGTGTTTTATTTTTTAACTGTACGGAATTATAAAATAAAATGCAAATTATAATCGGGCCTTCCATCAATTATAGTGATGAAAAAATGACTTGCCATCTCCTAATTGGATGTGCCTTTAGAGAGAAATGCATGGATTACATAATGAAAGAGTTTATTTTATTAGGAGTCTATTTTCGATTTGAATTATTTTGTTTTAAAGTAGTAATTTAAAGCTTTCTATATATTTTGATCATGTCTGAGTTTAGGTTCATCATTGTGAAGCGCTCCTGTTCAAGCCCGAGACGGCAGAAAGCGTTTGTTTTCTTTATTTTATAAAAGCACAACGTTTTGTTGATATTGTGAGTGCACACAAATAAAACTAGACCCTTTACAGTGAATGATGTATTACTCTTACCTTTATGAGCAAAAATGACTGCGTATTTTAAGTTGTTTCCACTGTTATAAAAAAATGCAAGTGATCGCGCTGGCGCCTCCATGTCCTGCAGAGCCGCTTCAGCTTCCACTCCTCCACAAACGATTGGATATATTTATATAGGTTAAACATTTAAACTAACATTGTGATATGCTTGAACTGTTTTATATATAGATTTTATTTTAGGCAAGTCCTGATGATTTGAGAAGGCTAAATTGATCAAACATAGGCTATAGGCTATGATCAATTCACTGTCTGCCGCTGGCCTTTACTTAAAAAAACAAAAAAAAATTAACGAACAAAAAATACTCCAAATGTTTTTCTAAATTTACTTTATAAAAAACGAAACGAAATATAATCACTTTTCCATTACATACAAAACTGAACTATTTTAATAGCTGAAACAGTAGTATAAGCTTTTTTTGGGAAAAGGGGAAAAAAGACGGGCTAGGGCCTATATTTGAGACCCGTGCAGGGCTTTAATCCACTTCATCCAACGCTGTTTTGTTCTCATCTGTGAGCATGCTCTTGATATATGTATTTTAGGTGTGTAAATTTATAATTGCCTTTTCATTATTTTTTTATTTTAATTTAGTTTTATTTAAATTTGTAGTTAAAACAACTAAAAATAAATGTATTTTAAAGTTTAGAATTAGACAGCCTTTGCACACAGGCTTACGCTGAAAACAACAAAACGGAACCTCAAGGTTGATTTAGGAAAATGTGTGCAAATGTATAGGGCCCCATTCCTATATTTTGCCTGGGGCCCCCAATTCACTAAATCCGCCCCTGAAAACACCCACAAAGTAGGTTTAAGTTTGCATTTTCTTCAGTCACTGCACTGGCTATAATTATAACCCTAAAATCAGGATTGGGCATGAAATAATATCTTGTATGTGAAAACAGGCTGAGAATTAAACAAGTAGTTCTAATCTGGCTTAGAGGAAGACAGGAGTCATGTCTTTGTGGCAATTTTTCTGCTGATTAAGAGTAAATACAAGACTTCTGCACCTTACAAACACTTTTTAAAAGCAAAAATGCTTCGAAAGGCATCATGTTTTGTGCAAACAGCCATTATTTTTGGAATCAGCGCCTCAAATAATAAGAAACTAGTATTGGAAATCATTCCGGAAATATGATACACACTGAAAAAAATTATACTAAATTTTTTTAAGGTAAGTGGTTGCAAACAATTTATTTTAGCTACATTTAATTAAAAAAACATTTTAAATGTTGAAAGTCAACTAAATTTGTTTATTTAAATGTAGCTAAAATTAATTGATTGCAACCACTTACCTTAAAAAAATTTAGTAAATTAAATGAATCATTTTTTTTCAGTGCAGGGGAGTGTTTATCTTAATTATCTTTGCTAAAATGCCCTGAAAATACCACTTAAATAGAAATACCTACTCATCCAAGTTAACCTTATACATTTTTCTCTAAAATCATGCTATAACGCAACAAATCTACTCATAGGTGTGCTTGGTCTCATACTTGCTGCTTACTTTGTGTCTGTCTAGTTGGAGGCGGAGGTTGGAGAAGGTGGTGAGGACGATGAAGACTGTTTTCCCTCCATCCTCCCTGATATGGACCGCGAGGGCCGAGTTTCTGAGGTCTTTGCTCACATCGATGAATTCGGCGTGCTGAGCTCCACAAAGCCCACGTTGGGCGTGGCGGCGAGTCGAGACCTGGGGCTCGGAGTCGGGGGCTTGACCGGGATGGGCGTAGCTGGATTGGAGAACACAAGTCTGCTGGTGGCGCTGGAGAGGCAGAGACTGGACCTGGAGAAACACCGCTTACAGGTGGAGTCCGAACGGCTGCAGGTGGAGAAAGAGCGCCTCCTGGTGGAGAAGGAGCGGTTGAGGCAGGGCGAGGTGGAGAGAGAGCGGCTGCAGCTGGAGAAGGAGCGTCTGCAGGTGGAGCGAGAACGATTGCGACTGCAGCTGCAACAGAACACGCCCCTCCAGCAGAGCCCCGCCCCCTCGACGTCTGTAGCCACGCCCACCACATCATCCTCTGCCCCCTCGTCGTCCTCATTGGATGGAGAGAAGGACAGGAAGCTGGCTTGGCCAATGATGGTGGATCTGGAGGCGGAGAAGCTGAAGTTAGAGAAAGAGCGCCTCCTGCTGGAGAAGGAGAGACTGCAGTTCTTCAAGTTTGAGTCGGGAAGACTGCAGATTGAGAAAGAGCGCCTGCAGGTGGAGAAAGAGAGGCTGCAGCTTCACAAAGATGGACAACAGATGGTTTTTTTTGTGCTTTATTTGAAGTGCAAAAAACACACTTTTTTTGGTGCTTTCCTTTCTAAAAATAGCCATATTTGAATATGTTATTTATTTCTCCTGTTTTTCACTAAAGAAATGAATGGATATCTATGGTAAACAGCGTTTCTGGCTGTATCTATAGATCAGGTCAGCCCACATGATTGCCTTCTGTTCATGCAAAACAACTCACGAGACGTTTTAACGCTGATTAGGTTGAGTATTGATATCTTGTAGAAATTTATGCAGAAGTATTGGAACGTACTTGTCACATATTATAAAAAGAACAGATGCTTCTGATTACAAGATGTTATGTACTTTGTTACCATACTGCTTAATGTACGGAGTAAAACAGAGAGCTAAAAAAAGAGTTGGATTGTATAAGGGCTCTTATAAGCAGCTGTGTTCACACTACAGCATGGATGGGGACCAAATCTGAGGCCGAATTGTCATATATATGTTCTTATGCACAAAAAAAAAGTGTTTTATAAGTGAGGCCTTTTTTTAAAATTTTATTTTGAAATAATCAGGTTTTTCTCTGGTCTTGACGTCAATAATTGAATAAGCTGACCGAACGCAGATAAATGTGTTCGTAAAACTATAGGTGCTTGGATTCAGTTTTGCTTATTCACACTCACAAACATGAATGTGAACAGTCAAAGCAAAATTTTATATAAGATATATTTTATATTTCACCCCAAAATCAAGAGAAAAAAAAAAAAATATATATATATATATACAGTGGGTACGGAAAAAAAATTAAGCCTATTTTAGGACCATTAAAGGAATAGTTGACCCTAAAATGAACATTTGCTGAAAATTGACTCATCTTTAGGCGATCTAAAATGTAGATGAGTTTGTTTCTTTATTGGAACAGATTTGGAGAAATGTAGCATTCTATCACTCACCAATGAATCCTCTGCAGTGAATGGGTGCCGTCAGCAAACCCTTGTTTATGGCCAAAATACGGGTCCATAATCCATAATAACGCTTCCTCCAGTGAAAAAGTCCATCTCCTGTTGTCACTCACATCAAAATCTTTCTCACCCGATTCAGATGAGACCACTCTTTTTTTTTTTTTTTAGATTTTTTTTTGGCGTTTTATGCCTTTTATTTAGATAGGA